TTTTTTTTTTTTTTCTTTTTTCTGTTTTGTTTGTTTTTTGAGACAGGGTCCCACTCTGTACCCTAGGCTAGCCTTGAACTCTCCAAGATACACCTGCCTCAGCCTACCTAGTGCTGGGATTACAGGTGTGCACCACCACACCCAACATGGTTTTCTAATTTATTTAAAATCCCATGCATAAGTGTGCAGTGTTACTTGTTGGAACTGCCTGGTCAGGAAGCAGGTGCTTTTCTGTTCTTTTCCAGTACTGGCAATTGAACCCAGTGAACCTGGAGCTACAGCCCCAGCCCTTTTATTTTTTTGATACTGGGGATCAGACTCAGGACCTTGCACTTGCAAGGCAGGTGTGTGCCTCTGCAGCTGACTCCACACACCGTCAGCCCTGCTGGCTGCTGGGGGGACCTTGGGATTGGCTGCTGCCCAGGTCATCTGCGTGGCCCATCTCTGTGCCCGTGTTGGTGTCTGCAGGCCTGCAGCCAGCGAGGAGGAGCTGTCCACACTGAAGGCCCAGCGTGCCCGCGTGGCACACATGAAGAGGACCTGGGCTGGCCAAGGGGCCTCGCTGAAGCTGGGTGACATCATGGTGCTGCTGGGTCGGTGCCGGTGGGCAGGGCGGGAGGGGGCTCCCCACAGGGTCCCCGGTCAGCTGGCGCGTGACACTCTGACTCATCCCCCAGGTGCGGTGGGGGCCTGTGAGTACGCGGGCTGCACGCGCGAGTTCTGTGAGGCCAACGGTCTGCGCTTCAAGGCTATGCTGGAGGTGCGGCGCCTGCGTGGCCAGCTCACCACGGCAGGTAGGGCCCGGCCGTCCCAGTGAGCCGCGGCGTCTGCCAACCCGCTTGCTTGCTCAGAGGCCCTCCCTTGGGATCTCCGCGGCACACACCTGTCTGTCCCCAGGTCCCTCCCCCAGCACCTGGACCATTGCCCTTCTCACCGGGACTCCTGGCCTGTCGTGCCCCTGGGGATGCTTGGGACCCAGATGTCAGGCAGTGTTTTCCTTGAGCCTTTGGTGGCATTGAGTTCATGTCCAGCAGGCACCCAGGCCTGGCACCAGAGCCAGGCTTTTCCAGCAGCCATGTGCCCTGACTGGGCATGTTGCCGTGACCATCATGGCTGTGTGATGTCCTCCTGCCCACCTTGTCCCCAGCTGCAGTGTCCTGGAGCTGCCGACCCTGGTGACGGTGGCAAGGACATGTCAGGCGACTGTCCCCTCCAGACAGGAGAAGGGGTGGGCGGGCAGTGGGCCCCTGTCACAGCCAGTGCCCTGCCTGAGGCCCTGGGTTCGGTGGCTGCTGCTGAGTGGCACAGGTGCCCACGAGCTGTGGGGCTTTGTCTGTGGAAGACGGGAGGTGGCTGTTTGTGGGACACGGGGTCCAGGCCCTGCCAACCCCATGCCCACACCCATCCCCCCAGTCAACACTGTGTGCCCTGAGGCCGGGCTCTTCGTGGACCCCAAGATGGAGCCACCCACCCAGAGCCAGGTCACCTACCTGCGGCAGATTGTCACGGCCGGCCTGGGTGACCACCTGGCCCGCAGGGTGCAGAGCGAAGAGCTGCTGGACGACAAGTGGAGGAATGCCTACAAGGTGGGGCGGCGTCGGCCCTTCAAGCTGGGGGTGCACCACCGACTGTTGGGGGTTCTCTTGGGGGTCACCTTTTTGAGACAGTCTCAGTATGTAGTTCAGACTGGCCTTGAACTCACTGTATATGCTTGGCTGCCTGGAACTTGCTGGGATCCTCCTGCCCCAGCCTCCCACGTGCTGAGGTTACAGATGTGCACTGCCACGCCCTGCCCCAGCCTTGTGTTTACAGCAGCCTCAGTGGACTGTAATTCACCTGCCTTAAAACAAGCCCACCGGAAGCACATGGCACTGCGGTTGTAAAGTGGTCAGAGCAGTGTAGCCGCCATCACAGTTGGCTTCAGGATAAAAACCCTCCAGGGTCCCCAGTCCTACTCCTTGTCCCCGTAGATCAGCTCCCTGCTGTGCACCGTAGCCTGTGCCACCGCCCCATCCCTCTCAGTGGCCAAGGAGTAGGGAGTCATGTGGCAGCCACAGCCGTCGGCCCACTGGTGGGGCCAGGTCTGTGACTCGGGTGCCGGGGTCTCCCTGCTCGAGCCCCCGCTGCTCCCCACAGACCCCACTGCTGGACGACCCCGCCTTCATCCACCCCAGCTCTGTGCTCTTCCGTGAGCTCCCCGAGTTCGTGGTGTACCAGGAGATTGTGGAGACCACCAAGATGTACATGCGAGGTTCGTGGGCACCGGGGCACAACCCCACCCACCTGCCCCGCCGGGTGGCCCCACTGATGGCCCTCCTTCCCAGGCATCTCTGCTGTGGACGAGCGCTGGGTCCCAGCGCTGCTGCCCGCCTTCTGCCAGTTTGAGCCACCCTTGGAGAAGCCCGCACCCACCTACTGCCCTGAGAGTGGGCGCGTGCTCTGCCACCGCACCAGTGTGTTCTGTGAGTGCCCACGCTGGGCCCTGGCACCCTCCCTCCGTCCCTCCCGTGAGTGCCCCCACTCACCACCTGTGCCCGACAGACCGTGTTGGCTGGCCGCTCCCTGCTGTCCAGGTGGATTTTCCCGAGGGCATCGACCGATACAAGCACTTCGCCTGCTTCCTGCTGGAGGGGCAGGTAGGCGTCCCCTGGACCTCACGGCCCCCGCCCTGGGCACCGTGCATGGGGTGGGCTGGGCTCAACCCCCGAGGTCCTTCTGCAGGTCTTCCGCAAACTGGCCGCCTTCCGGAGCTGCCTGCTGTCCAGCCCCAGCACGATGCTCAAGACGTGGGCCAGGTAGGCTTCCCTGCGAAGTACAGAGCCTGTACTGATGAGGAGCTTGTGTGACAGGGACCCTCCTGCCTCATAGTTCCCAGTAGCTGCTGAGTTCCTGCCCTTGGGGCTGCATCACTCCAACCTTGTTTCTGTCCTCCTGTGTCTGTTCACCCTTCCTATCCCACCCCAGGGTATTTAGGGCGTGCCCTCCCTCCATGACTCCCCCAAGCCCTCTGTGCCCAGCTGCCAGCCCACATCCATCTCCCCACAGGCTGCAGCCCAGAACAGAGACACTGCTGAAGGCCCTGGTGGCTGAGAAGGCCGACTGCCGAGATGCGCTGTTGGCTGTGTGGAAGCGAAACCCCAAGTGTGAGTGGGGCAGGAGCTGCGAACTGGCTGCACCCCGGCTGGGCGGGGACCCGGGCCTGGGCTCCCTGCTGGGCATGGCCACCTGACCCGGCCTGTGCTTCTGCAGACCTGCTGCCCGAGTACCTGCAGTGGCTCCCGCAAGCGATGCACCCTAACGTGGAGAAAGCCTGGCCCCCTGCCTCTCAGGGCTGACCCGGCCTGGCTCTGGCTGCTGGCCTGGGACCGAGGGGCCGGGACCGCGCCTCCACCTCTGCTGCTGGAGCTGTCTGGCCTCCTGAGTGCGTGGCACCTGCCCTCCGGCTGTTTTTACCCCACGGGCACAATGTAGCTTCACTTGAAGTCAGGTCTAGTGTGGGTCGGGCTGCATCAGCCCCTGTGGACGCCCAGGGCCGGGGACTTTGGTAGTCAGGAGCCCCTGGCCCCGCACCCATCCTTTTGCAGAAGCTTGGCCACCAGGGCCTTCTGGGTGCTGTTGTCCAAGGAGGTGGTGGGGAGCTGAGCATGCGCATCCTGGGCCACAATGCAGGGAGCACTGGCCAGGGCTGCAGGCTGCTGAGCCTGTCAATGGGTGGCACCATCCTCAGGCTGAAGTGGAGCTGGGGCGGAGGGCGGTCCCCGAGGAGAGGCGGGACAAGGGGCCCAGGCTGTGTGGGGTCAGGAGACCGGCCGTGCATGTAGGGTGGGGGTCCGGGGCTCAACATCAGTGGAGGCAGAGCTGTGACATAAAAGACCTGCTTCGAAAGGACACCCCAGGGACCCCAGAGCTCATCTCGGCCTCCAGCTGCGTCCCACAAGCTCTGGCCCCCAACAGCCGCCTCGCCATGAGGACTCTGTCACTCCCCACTGCTCAGAACCCCCGCGAGGGCCCCAGTGTGGGGCGCCCGGCCCTTCCGCTCCCCCATGGCTGGACAAACAAAACCTCAGGTCCTTGGCTGAAGCAGAGCCAGCGCGGTGGCCGCTTTCTAAGACACCCACAGTGTGGGCTGCTGTGCCAGTCCATGGCTCTGCATGGGCGGCTCTGTCAGAAACCCTCCGAGATGCTGACGCGCTGCATTTCCCCATTCTCAGGTTTCTGCTACCCAGCACCAGGGTATTTTTGTACCCCTCGGAGAGCTGTACCCAGCAGAGTTTACCCCTCCCGTTCCTTGCTGGAGCCCACCTTGTGTCTGTCTTTGTTTGCTCTGGATGACTGCATAAGAGTCCGAACAGTTTGTAACTGGTGCTGTCATTTCTGTCATTTGGCCCATGGTTTCCAGGGTCCACAGGGTGGCGGCGGCAGCTGGGCTTCCCTTGTGACACTGCCACGTAACAGGGCCAGTTCACAGTAGGGTGCGTGAGGTGGGAGCATCGCCGCAAGTTGGACAGCAGCTACATAGTGAGACCAACACAAGCCAGGCAGTAGGGGGCCCAGGATGTGTCCAGCAGAGCCACACCAGCCTGGCAAGCACAAAGTCCCGAGTTTAATCTCTGGTACAAAAAAAAAGACTAGTGGGCTCGCTCTGCTCCTCCATTTGTCCAGGGTCCTGTGGGCCAGCATGAACTGTGCTGTGTTATCATGAGTGTGCGTGTGCAAGTGTCCTGTGCACAGGAAGCTTCACTTTGTCTTGAGTGGACCTAGAAGAGTGCTAGTCAGAGGGTGAAGACCCCGGGGCCTTCACACGGCTGCATGGCTGGCCCCTACCTCTGTTAATAGGTTCAGACAGAATCTTGCCTAGTTGCCCAGGATAGGTTCAAACTTGCAAGTCCTCCTGCTTCAGCCTCCTGGAGTGCTGCAGTTAACAGGTGTGCACCACCACACCTGGCTGGAACACAGTATGCACGTGTGCACATCTGCACTTGTGGGCGCGTGCGCAGTGCTGCCGGAACCCAAAGCCTCACACGTGCTCGGCCACAGCTCAGCTTTGAATGTGCCCTTCCCGGGCCATGCACCTGCGACAGCAGTGTCCTTGCCCACTTTCTTTCCCCCTGCCCACACTGAGCCGCCTACCTCTGGGTCCGCAGGTGTCCCACAGCGTGCAGCTGTCCCCAAGTATACACCTGTCATTCCCTGCTTTGCACTGACCATGCCACACACAGCAGTAGGCAGCTGAGACAGAAGGTGGGGGTGGCCACGCACATCCCGTCACTGCCAATGTGAAGGCCATCAGAGGCCAGGGTGGAGGACCCGGGTGGTGGAGCGCTTCCTGGCTGGCCCATGAAAAGCCTGGGTTCTATCCCAGCCTCACCTAACATCAGGGGAGGCAACAGCCCTGAGAAGTCCCCTCTGACACTGACTCTGAGGCCACCCTGCACCTCTCAAGCGGCTTGGTGCCTGCAGTCAGGCCCCTGGGAGGCTGGCTGGCAGCTGTGCACCTTGGGCAGCAGCCTGGCGACACAGCCTGGTCACCATCTGTCCCCAGCCCACATGAGGCAGGTGCTGAGGAAATGATAGGGGGCCTTCCTGAGGGCTGCATTCCCTTACACCAAAACAGACGTCCCAGGAACTGAAGACAGCAAGACAGTGGATCCCTGCAGGCTTTAGACGGCAGAAGGTGAAATACCCCGAAAAGTGAGGTGGTGCAGTTTGATGAAAAAGCCCACAGGTGATGCAGAGTCAAGTTCCAAACACTGTGCTTGGTGGCTGCAGGTATGAAACAGTGGGGAAACCACATGAACTTTCCAACTTCATTTGCTGTTTTTTTGTTTTGTTTTGTTTTTTGGTACTGAGGATGGAACATCCAGATCCTTGAGCTTGCAAGACAGGTGGTGGCACCACTGAGCTAAATTCCCGGACTTCGGATTTCATTTGCTTCTAGTGGACTTTGAAAATACCCCAGATTTGATTTGGGCACAGCTGAGCACTGGGGCTCCCTAGATGACCCCTCACTCGTGGGGCATGATGAGAGCAGTTGCCTAGGTTACGGGAGGCCATTGCTAACCACAGACATCATGAAGGCGGTCCTCTGACATCAGGGGGCTGAAAACTGACCTCTGATTGTACTAAAGCCATTTTCTGAACAAGCATCAAAGATGTACCTTAAAGACTGACCTCTACTCACTGTTACCCAGGCCTTAAGTCACCCTTGGTAACGGGCACTGACCGCAGGGATAGAGCAAGACTGCAGTAAGACAGCGCTCACCCTGCTTCCATGTCCCTCCCCCCAAGAATGTTTTGTTCCAGAAATGGAACAGTTTGTGCTCCTGGGCGCCTGAGCAAGGTTTTGTAACTGAACTTTGTGGCCTCAGGAATGTTCAGTCAGCCCCGCCCCTGTCAGGAATGTTCCATTAGCTCAGCCCCTTTCTGGAAAGTTCTGTGACTCCGCCCTGCTGCTTCAGGGAGCATGCTCGCATACCGAGGAAGCTCTCCTTTCTGCTGAGGCGCTCAGGCTTTGGTTGGGAACGACTCTGATCCTGTGGGTGTGGTACAGCTTTTTCTCCATCTGTTCGACCATCCAATTCTCCAGCCTTCAAACTTTGATAGCCTCCACCCAGAGCTGTAACACTCAGCTGTGTCTCAGAGCTGTGACCCTTGACTGCGTCACTGAGCTGTTCTGCTTTGCCACAGCCCCAGGGCCTTTGCACTGAGCTTCATCCCCAGCTTTTTAAATTTTGTGTTTTGGGACAGTGTCTCAATATGTCACTAATCCACTATATGTCACAGCTTCCCAGAGTGCGGGGGTGACAGGTGTACACCTCCATACCTGGCTCACCTTGCTACTTTATCCCATAAATGTCCCCAAACCCTGTCAGGGTGACAGACTTGACTTGTGGCTCCTGTCCCCATACCTATCATTTTTTTTCTTCTGCAAAGCCTGTTGCAGGAGGACGTGGTGGCGCACGCCTATAATCCCAGCACTTGGGAGGCTGAGGCAGGAGGATCGCTGTGAGTTCGAGACCAGCATGGGCTACATAGTGAGTTCTAGGTCAGTTTCCACCATACAGTGAGACCCTGTCTCAAAAAACCAAACAAACAAAATACACACACAAAACCTGTTGCAGGAGTTGGGATGGTGGGCAAAACCCGCCTGCTAGCAACTCTCCCAAGAGATATCTGGCTGGCCGCGGTGGTGCACAACTGTAATCCCAGCACTGCAGAGGCTGAGGCAGGAGGGATGCTACTTCGGGTCCAGCCTGGGTAATTTAGCGACATAGCTAGATCCGGTCTCAAAAGAAAAGGGGTAAAAAGGGCTGAGCTCAGTGCAGAGGCCCTGGGTTCAATCCCCAGTACAAAATAATAATCTATCAATCCTAGTACCCAGTTCAGGGACCAACAGTGCTAGATAGGAACGCACTCGTGAGGATCAGGCCCCGGCCCAAGAGAAGTCGTTGACGCTCTGGGTGAGAATGTGGGTGCGGGGGTCAGGCCTCGAGGCACAGCTTCCTCCCAGTTTTCAGATCTCCGCTTCGCACCCTTTGCCCCCGAGACCCCGCCGCCCCCTCGGATCCAGTCTGTCGCG